GGTCTAAAATGTAAGGATCCCTGCTTATCATTGCATGGCTTCTTGGGTGATAAACAGCAACAGCCGGAAGGGGTCCAACTTCTTCTATCTTCTGCATTTCACAGGTGACACCAAATTTCAAGTTGCCTGTGATCCCAAATTCGAAGCATTCAAAGACCATAACAGACAGACGCACATATACAATGCATATTATTTATATATGTATACACAAACACACCCTTTTTCATACCTCCGAGCAGTCGCATATGGGCCTTTGGGTCACTCACGTCCGCACTCCGAACGCCAGGCCGCGCACTTCGCCGCCCTGCTCCCCGCGGAGGGCGGCCCCCAGATACCAGGCTATTCGTGCCGGCCAACGAAGACGTGGGGAGTCAATAGATTGGAAGCAGATGTGTTCTATGTGCAGACTGTACGTCTAGGCGCATACGTATACATGTTGGCTTATGCGAAACCATGCGTGCGCGCGCGGGTGGGTGTGTGGGTGTTTGTGCGTGTGTGTGTGTGTGCTGTGCTGTGCTGTGCTGTGTCTGTGTTTGTGTTTGTGTTTGTGTCTGTGTCTGTGTGTGGGTGGGTGCTCTCTCCGTGAAACTAAGACATTGGGGGCGAGTCGCCTTTGTGTTTTGCTTTCAATGCATCACAACCTCCTGCATTCAGAGACAACAACATCCATGACATATGCCGCAGTTTTGTATTTGGAGCGCTCAAAGGAGTTGGCCGCTTCGCAAGTGGTTTGGCAACCACCTTTTTGAGTGGTGCCCAGAACCTCTCCATTCCACCCGCGGTTCGTACTGGAATAGACACATGGTTGGTGTGACTTGCATAAGTCAAGATGACTCATTCATCCGGTACAGAGTGAAATAGGGCTCGGACCCAATGGTTATTGCTTACTTAGTAACTTTCAGTTCTGATTCGGGAATTCTTGTCTTTGTAGATAAAGGGCCCCGGCGCCAAGGGATTCTAAAAAAATACAGCTTTCAAGAAAGGCGGCCAGGTCAGAAACAGCTCCCAGGGTTGTCTTGCAAGCAACGGCTGATTAGTTGAGCAACCTGGCCAAGGCCAAGGCCCCAAACAAACACCGAAGTGAGATTAGCACAGTTTCAGCAGTGGTTTGCACTACTGACTTCCCCCTCCACCCCCCCCACAATGATATGCAAATATTTATCTGGGGAAGTCGATACTTATCAATAGGGTTTCGGGGGAAGGGGGTTTGCCCTCTTCTGCACAAATCGCTAAAAGCAAGCTGGAATAACAGAATCCCAAGGAAACAAACAGAAGACATAAATCGTCACGGCTTTTGGCAGCCGAGCGTACGCCATGATTCATCCTCTTGGCTTACGTACTAATAGATACACCATATGCAGAAAAATGTTTTTCAAGAAATTAGAAAGAGGCAATGCTATACCAGCCAAAAAATTCAGGCCAACCCCAACTGCAGCATTCTTTTTTTGGGGGGGTCACCTCAAAAAGCTAAAATACTTGCATATTCACAAAGTAAGATGCCATGGTTCACTTGTTTTTTGGCAAATTCAATAACAAGAGCAACTTCGGTGTTCCTCCCAACCCTGAAGCCCCATGCATCTTGACTTCGTCATCCCGAATGCCTGGAGGCAACGACAAGCGCGCGCGGACCATGGCAGGCCATTCGCACAAGTGACATGTAAAGAATCCTTCGTTGGAGTTTGAGAATATGCCCCTGACAAGCTCTGCATATTCTTCTTCTTCTTCTTGTTGTCGTGGTCGTTGTTTCTGTTGCTGTTCCTGTTGCTGTTGTTGCTGCTGCTGCTGCTGTTGTTGCTGATGATGATTGTTGATTGTTGATTGTTGATGGTTGATGGTTGATGGTTGATTGTTCTCGTCGCCGTCGTCGTTGTTGTCGTCGTCGTTGCTGCTGCCGCTACTGTTGTTGTTGTGGTTGTTGTTGTCGTCGTCGCCGTCGCCGCTGCTGCTGCTGCTGCTGTTGCTGTTGTTGTTGTTGTTGTTGTTGTTGTTGTTGTTGTTGTTGTTGTTGTTGTTGTTGTTGTTGTTGTTGTTGTTGTTGTTGTTGTTGTTGTTGTTGTTGTTGTTGTTGTTGTTGTTGTTGTTGTTGTTGTTGTTGTTGTTGTTGTTGTTGTTGTTGTTGTTGTTGTTGTTGTTGTTGTTGTTGTTGTTGTTGTTGTTGTTGTTGTTGTTGTTGTTGTTGTTGTTGTTGTTGTTGTTGTTGTTGCTGTTGTTGTTGTTGTTGTTGTTGTTGTTGTTGTTGTTGTTGCTGTTGCTGTGGTTGTGGTTGTGGTTGTGGTTGTGGTTGTGGTTGTGGTTGTGGTTGTGGTTGTGGTTGTGGTTGTTGTTGTTGTTGTTGTTGTTGTTGTTGTTGTTGTTGTTGTTGTTGTTGTTGTTGTTGTTGTTGTTGTTGTTGTTGTTGTTGTTGTTGTTGTTGTTGTTGTTGTTGTTGTTGTTGTTGTTGTTGTTGTTGTTGTTGTTGTTGTTGTTGTTGTTGTTGTTGTTGTTGTTGTTGTTGTTGTTG